AATTGAAGTGGGGCAAGAAAAGGATAATTCATTTTTTTTTTAAATCAATTTTTTTAACTTTATCCTGTGGTCATAAATTAATTTTTTATAAGTTATTTATCAATTTTTATAAATTTTCATTTTTGGGAAAAATTTTAAATTATCTATAAGTTTGTGAAATTAATTTTTTTTAAACTTAGTTATTTAATTTTTATGTTTATCTGTAGACCATGAAATTAATTTTTCATAAATTATTTATTAATTTTTTTATATGTTTATCTATATGGAGTGGAATTTTGAATTCAAATCTTTAATCCATAAACCATTGAAATTAATTTTTCCCAATTTTAATTAATCAAACAAATAAAAAATGAGGAAAATAGAAACATGAAAAACAATCAAAGAGGGTTGCCCACGTTAAGAAAGAGAAAGTTTTAAAATTATGAGAATTTAAATAAGAATATTTGGGAGACTTTTTACCAATACAACGAACATTTGGTATATATATAGTATAGACTAGTGGTACCCGTGCTATGCACGGGTAAATACAAAAGGTTGATAAATAATAACTAAATATGTTAAAAATTAATAATAAAATTCTATGATATTAATTTATGGTACTTAAAAAATAGTTTGATTGACTCAACCGAAAAAGAAAGGTCAAAGTGAATTCGTAAAATAATGATAAAAGTAAAAATAAATTAATTTGAATTTGAAGATAAACTATAAGATATAAAAGTGAAAATCAGATAAATCCTAAAAAAGGAATAAACTTAATTGAAAAATTAAGAGTAAGAGTAGTCCTGTACATATAAGGTAAAGATTAAAAAAAATTAAAAATAAATTAAGTGTAAATGTGAAGATTAAATTATTATAAGGAATATAGAAAGAGAAAAATTAAGATTTATCCTAGAAAAAGAGGTAGAGGGGAAATTTAGTAAATATCAAATGAGATTGAAAAAAAAAAATCCAAAGTTGAAATTTAAAAATTCAAAATTTAGATAAGATAAACTTGATTAAAAAACATCTAATATAGAAGAACTGGAGATAATAGTAGTTTAAAAATTAGATAAGAGTAAAATGCTACCTATAATAAAAAATAGAACCATAGTAAGTTAAAAATTACATAAGAGTTAAATGCCATCTATAATTTTTTAATAAACATTTATGTGCTTAGAAGTTGATTGGCTTAGAATTTTGAAAAAAGAAGTTGATTTTTTATTTTTTAAAAAATAAAATTTTTTTAAAATTTAAATTTTGTGTAGTTAAAAAATAAATATCTATGTTATCTTATTATACAAATTTTAACTCTATTTTTAACAGTTTTTGTATTCTAAAGCTATTTAATTACAAACAAAATTCGAGGATCACTTTTTATTTTTTTAAATTTGTTTTGTGTCTATAACCTGTAAATTTCAACAACTTTCGTATTTTGAAGCTACTAAATAAAAAATAAAAAAAATTAACATCACTTCGTTTTTTGTTTTTGTTTTTGTTTTTTTTTTAACTTCGTAGTTAGTTTTATTTTTACTTTATGTTATATGATAATAAAATCATTTATTTTAAATACAATAAAGTCTTAACCATGGAACGCGCATGACATGAATATTTCTATAGCAGTGGCACGTGAATATAAAATTCAGCAATCATAGAAAAAAAAATTCTTACCTATGATTTTTGTCTAAATATATAAAACATATTTATTCAAATTAAATTTTAAAATTTTGATCAATAATATGTAATGTGTTTAAAATTTCAATACAAACATAGTTGAGTAATAATTTTTTTTTATAAGAAATTAACCAAACTTTTATTGAAGTATTCATATATTGAATCCAATCTATTTAAAAATTACATGACATTCAATAATGTAATTGAAATTAACTATTAAATATTAATTAAGTAAAAAACATGTATATTGAGTTTTTACTCTTCCAATGGATCCAAATGCCCTTGTCTACAATTGATTTTCGTTATATATATATATATATACAAAGTATATAGTTGAAAGCAAAGTAATTTATTTGTATATTCATTAAGGATTTTGAAATCTAATCTTGTGTTTCAAATATTCCTTTTTGCAGATAACTTTTTATTGCAAAAGATAAACTTATCATTTAAAAACTTAATCCTACTCACTACATATATGCAAAGAAACAAATTTAAACTCATGAAGATCTCACATAAAAAAATAAAAATATAAGCAAAAATATTTTAGAGCCACTACATAATTAAGTTTTTTTACGTCTGAATTTAAATTGAGTGCCCTCCTTATAAATTACAACAAAATCAAACACGTAAATTAATATAATTGAAGAAAAAAATATAATAAAAAATAAATGAGATTGAATAAAAATTTCTTTCAAACTCATGAATGTGCTCCAAATACTCTTCTCGATTAGTACAATTTTTCTTAAAAAAATGGGTGAACTCAAATTGCATCACAAAAGCTCTCCAATATTTTTGCCCAATTTCATATTGTCACGGAAGTAAGGTTTTTTTTTTTTTTTTGAAATATCTTTGAGTAGGATATAAATTTGATGAAGGAATTTAAATTAGAGTCAAACTCATCTTTTATCTATAAATGTTTTGAAAAAATCATATCCATATGATATTATATATGTCCTAACCCTAAGTAATTAAAAGGTGAACTAAAATATATTAAAAAAGAGGGAAAAAAAATAGAAAAATAGAATGAGAGAAGAATAGATATGCCACCTAGGAAAAAGTTTAATAAGGTATTAGGATTGAGAATTTGAAATTTTTTAAGAAATTACTACATTTGGTTATATATATAATATAAATAAAACTGATATTTAAATCTTGGTATTAACCTCACTGATCCCTATCTCTCTCTCCCTTTGATGTGATATATCCATGTGAAAACAGATTGAAATTAATGGAGATTACTAATTTACTATTGGATTATATTATCTTCCAAATCTTGTCTTTCCTTCACTTTTGTTTTGTATTTTGTTTTTTTTTTTTTTAATTTTTTTTTATTATTTGAATTGTTTATAATGTAAAGTTTGTCGAGTATATTATTTTTAAAAAAATTGTCAAAAATTATACCAATCGTTTATTTTTGTTTAAAATAAATGTGATGTTATTATGTGATTACAAATATCTAATTGATTTAATTTTTTTTTTTTTTATGTATGATCTATTTAACAAATCGTATAATATGAATGGTCTAAATTATAAAAATAGATTAAGCCTTCGTTTAGGATGTGAGTTGGCTTTTTAACCATTTTAACTTAGAACTAAAAAGTCTCGTTTGAGATAAATTTTTTGAGTTTTTTAACTTTTGTAAGAGAAAAAATAAAATGATTATGATTATTGACGTTTTAAGCTATTTTGTCGTTTTGTAACTATTTTAATCTGAACTTTTTAGGCCAAACAAAGCCTAAAGATACACTCCAACGGACTTCAAAACAGGCGTGCTGTGTCACCTACCCAAGTCCATTATTTTCTTGATAATAAAACCTCTACTTTGGCTTCAAAAACGAACAGACAGTGCTTTTATATATAGATAATTGTAATAAAATAAAATAGTGCGATTATCAAATAAATGATATATTTTTTAAAAATATACGTACAAAATATTTATAAATAAATAATTTAAATTATTAAATCGAAATTTGTGATAGACTCTACGAATTTGAAGGTTAATAAAAATCGAGTTAGGGACAGACTAGAGTACTGAATAGTTTTCTTAAGTAGTTGGAATTCTGGGAAGACTAGGCTCTATCTCTCTCTTGCCATTGCTCAAGGCTGAGAAGCTTTTGTTCATGGTTGTTGGCTGTTGCGCCCCACCCAGATTTTTTAGGTTGAAGCTTCCATAGAGAGAGGTAAGCCTTGAACTCCGTATCTATTGTCTCTTGATACATACCGAGTACTGAAACTTCAGATAATATTTCTACATACGTATTATCTACATACGTATTAAGGTGATGTTTGATTCACATGACTAGTGAGGTATTAATAATCTTATCAAATTAGTTTAGTATTTACTATTCAATTGGATTAATAGAATAAATTATCCATTCAATTAATCTCTACCCCATTACTAATAATCCCACAAATTTATTAGATTAATAATCTAAACCAAAATGTTTAAACAAAATGTTAAAACAAACATAAGATAATTGGGCACGGATTAGGCACGGATTAATAATCTCAATTTCATGCTCTAATCCATCCAAAAATGCCCAAAATATGAACCTAAATTTTTCTTCTTAATTGATATATGTAGTATATATCTAAACCGTACATCAGTCAAACTAGCTAATATTTTGTTCTAATAGAGAGGTAAAATTAGTTTCATTGCACTTTTCTTATTGTTGTTATGCATAGCTAGCATGATTTTAAAATAAAATTATAGGTTGTAACTTATTTAATACAATGACATTTAATTTTGATTTATATATTTATTTTTGATATTAAATGTGGATGGTAAGTTAGATTGTAACAAATTAAATCATTTAACTAATTTGACATTACTCTAGATTAAAGATAAATATTTTTTTACAACGTGTATCTTATTTTTTTTTAAATTTACCAAATTGACATACCCGTACCCGTGTTTTAATTTCACATAGAGGCCAAGATTTAATTTCATGTTTCTGTTTGGTAAGCTTGTCAAAATTTGAGACCTCAAACAAAAACTGCTTAAGTTGATTGAAACCGGGTTATTTTAGTAACAAAATCAATGTTGTTAAAAAAAAAAAAAAAAAAAAAAAAAAAAAAAAAAACCATTAATGTTTGATGTGCACAAGCTTTATTCTGCATAAACATTTATAAGATAACCTACACATTACTAAAATTCTGGGAAGATGTGCATTGAAATAATGAGTAAAAATAGCATACAATGATTGCTTTAACTCAATTTATTAGAGCATTAATCAAATAGGTTGACAACAATGCCAATGATGAGTACTTGAGATTATATGCATTTTGTTCATTAAAGTTTTACTGCAATTAAACTAGTTCTTCCTCCATTTTGGTGTTTTAGGATAACAATGACTGATCGTCGGATTTATAGAAAGGATCAAATTAGTGAGCTGCCAAGAAATATCATAGAAGGTATCCTTGAGCGGATGTCCATAAGAGATGCAGCAAGAACAAGCATCTTGTCAACCAAGTGGAGGAGTATTTGGACTACAATTTCGCAACTCAAGCTTGGTAATCAGTTTTTCAAAGACACCCTCAAGATTAAACCAATAGTCAAACATGAACTTGTGAGTGTTGTTGAGAAAATTCTCTTGCTTCATGATGGCCCCATACCGATGTTTCTTTTCTGCATTCCAAGAATACGATTTGATTGCAGCGCAGATATTGATCGTTGGATTCTTTTCCTTTCGAGGAATGGTATCAAGGACTTAACTCTTATTAATAATTCAGATAATGAACCCTATAAGTTGCATTCCTGTATCTACTCTTGTCCTGAGTTGACTCGTCTAGAGCTTGTCAATGGTATATTCAAAGCACCACGCAAATCAAGTGGCTTTCATAATCTCATTAGCCTTCATCTTAAAAAAATCGCATTTGCGCACAACATTCTGAGGATGCTTTTTTCCATGTCCCCACTGCTTCAGAGATTGACCATCAAACATTGCACTGGTATTGGCAATCTCAATATCCGAGCTCCAAAGCTCAAAAGGCTACTTGTACAGCACAATAGTGAGATACAATCAATATGTTTTACAGACACCCAAAATCTGAGTTACATCGCTATCATATTTGGTTTAACAATGGGAAGTCCCAAGAGTGTTAAAACACCCAATGTGGTTAGGTTTCTTGGTGACTTGCCTAGAATTGCAGAGCTAAATTTGGATGGCTTTTTTATTAAGGTGAGACATTGGTTTTATAATTTTATCTGGTTTATTTATTTCAAAACATGTAGCTTGACAGTGTCCTTATACAATTTGTTGCCATTTGCATCAAAGATTTTGGCTGCAGGTGGAGTTCCCCGTAGGCTTCCGACCACAGCTAACCTTTTGAAGGTACTTGCATTACATAATTTTCGGTTTAATGACTTGGATCATATTTCATGCGCGCTTTGTCTGATTAGAAGCTGTCCCAACTTGACGAAACTTCAGATTTGGGTAAGAATCTTGAATCTGGAAACTTGGTATGTTTTCTTTAAAAATTTCAGACTAATTGGTTTTGCATATTGGTATTATCTTCACAGACTTGCATAATAATGGAGAGGAACGATGAAGAACTGGTTCTAAATCGTCTGGAAGCGCCAAACTGCATGGATCGAATGCTGGACAAACTTCAATCTGTGAAGATAAGTTATGTCATGGGTTTGAAGCCTGAACTTCTTTTCATCAAGCATCTGTTAGCCCGCTCACCAGTGCTAGAAACAATATTCATTCAGCACAGCGCAGAAGTTGATTTCGAAAAAGGGTTCAGTATCTCAAAAGAGTTGGCACGGTTTCCTCGGGTGTCACCAAAAGCAGCAATAATATACTAGATAGCGATCACGCTGACATAGATGTTTGTTTTTCCCTTTCTTCTAGATCTGGTATCTGATCATAGAAAAGTTCGTAGAGATTTGATGAGCACTAGCTGAAACAAATTGAAACTGTAAATATGTGTATTTTTTCTCCTCTGGTTTGTGAGTAGTTTAAATTTTTATTTATGTTTAGTAGAAGAGCAAGTCTTTTTCTTATAGTATGGTTAAAGATCCTCATTGCAATGGCTTTGGAGGAATGGATGAAAAAACCTACCTTTTCTGTTAAGTGGTGTTTACACATGGGCATGCCAATCCTTTTCCGTATACAGTCTATTGTGTTTTTTAGTGCAATTGGTTGGATGGGAATAGGAAAGGAAAAGTCGCATAGTGCAGACTTGAACCCAGATATTTCACCTTGTTTTGCTCAACTTTCAAAAATGAGAAAACTTTAGTTGAAAGTAAAATTATTTTTAATTTGTATGCTGATTGAGAAATTCACATTTTTTAATCTTTATTTATCGATTCTTGCAAATTTACAAAAGAAGATAGACGAGAGAAAAAATTGAAAAATTAATTTCTGATACAATCATCAACATGCTGAAAGGAGGATGAACTAAGAATGGGTCTTAGCCTTTACAGTTTTTAGTTAGTTACTTGTTAATTCATTCTGTACTAATGTACCCATATAATTAATTCAAAGGCTTGTTGTGCATTAGGTTGAGCATTTTATTTCTTGAAATTGTTAAACAATTACATGCTGGAATAAACCAAAGTTAAAGACTGTCTATACTAATTACAAGCAATTGAACCAGTGGTGAATGAGTTGAGTTTGTGAATGGATTTACGGAAAGAAAAAACAGGGGGGAAAGGATTTATGAATAAAAAATCTATTCCATTCACTTTTCCATTCATGTTTTTTTCCCTCCACAAATCCAAACACAAGAGAATTACTTCCCACCCAAAACCACTGCCTCTAGCAAGAGTATATGCCAATATAGAAAATTGTCTCCAAAATGATTTCAATCTTTTAACAAAATAAATTTTGATTTTTTTGATTTTATTAATTTAAATCCTAATCTTTTGTTTTATTTTCAATCTAAATATTTGTATATTTTCATTAAAAAAATCAATATAAAAATTTATATTTTAGTCATTAAACTCAACGAAAATGTTATTTTTGATATTTTAAATACACTCACATTGATTTTAATGAGTAAAATACTATTTTTTTATTGATTTTACTTGACGAAAATAGTTGAATGATTTAAATTGAAATTAATCAAAAAATTAAAATTCAAATTAATAAAATTCAAATTTTATTTTGTTATAATGTCAAATTTTAAGATTTTTTTGTTGTAATATGTTTATGTTTATTTTTATACACAATAGTGTTACAACCACACGAATTTTCTCCCTCAAAATTCTCCAAATGAGGTGACAAGATAAAATGTATTTAAGGAGAGTTTTAAAAAAAATATTGAAGTGCAAGTCAATTTTTCAATTTTTACCTATTACGTCATTTGAAAAGATTTTGAGAAAAAATTTATATTTATGAATTATTTTTCTTTTTACACAGGTACACTGAAATGTAATATCTCCCAACTCCTCCCCCAAAAAAAAAAAAAACGGATATAAAAGGTAATAAAGAACCCCAAAACATCTCCTTTTCAAGAAATTATTCAATGCTTTCAATACTCGTGAAGTAAGTTTAGGTGATATTTCAAATCAATAGTTATTATTTTTAAAAAATTAGTCTAAAATCCCTCTTTAATTTTTAGTAATAGGAGAGATCCACAATATTTTTATTTGTAGTCTAAGGTCCTTCACACACACCCATATATCATATCCACTCTCTCATTATCTCTCCCACTCAGGCGCCTCACTTCGGAAACCACTTAGGCACCTCAATTCAAGTTTTCTGAAGCCGAGAATCATTTGGTTCCTCATCGCTAGGTAATAACTACTACTCAAAAGTCTCTTCAGACTCATCAATTCACTCATACTTAATCTTGCTAATCCCAATTCTCTTCACCACTGCGTTCCTAATTGCCTCTGCTTGCAAGCACAACCCATTTTGTTCAATCCCAGACATATAGCTCCTTACTTCTTCTTTGATCATCTCTTGCATCACAACAAAAAATTCTTGGTTAAAGAACAACTCGTTTAGTAATGGAGGTTTGGTGATTTTAGGGGTTTTTTAGTACAAATATGCTGGATGGGTTGTATACATATATATATATATATATATATATGTATGTATGTATGTGAATATGATTTATGTACGAGTTTATCTCTGTTCAATTTTTTCTGGTTTGGTAAAAATATAGAGAAAATTATGAGTAAATCAAAGAAAATTGGTCAAAACACAGAGAAATTTGTGAGTAATCTGGAGAAATTTCAATCTAGAGAAACTTCAAAATATAGAGAAAATCAAATAAATTGAGCAAACACTGGAATTAATTTTCTCTGGTTTAAAATTGTGAACAAACACAGAGAAATTTGTGCTAAAATTTCTCTGTTTGGTTAAAGCAATTTTCTTTGATTTAAAATCAATGTGCTAAAATTTCTCTGGTTTGGTTAAAACAATTTTCTTTGGTTTAAAATTGTGAACAAGTATAGAGAAATTTGTGAACAAAGTTGTTTGATTCATTTTTAAGAACTTGTTTTTTGATTTTTTTGGATATTTGATTGCTTCGATTTCTCTATTAATTTGTTTGCTTGCTCAGATATTGGAAGGAAAACAAAAAAAGAAGGGAAAATGTGCTTTTTAATTCAAAAATTTCAAGCACTTTCGTTAGGCTTCTGATCCAGCCCCATTGCATAAGCTTATGCACCGCTTGTTAGGGAAAATCAATGATTTCTCACAAGTAAATCAATCAATGAGAATATAAACGAATGCGAAAAAATTAAATCAACAACGACACAAGAATTTTACGTGGTTCCCTCAATGTGAGGTAGGTCTACGGGATCGAAATCCGATTCCACTATCAACCAAAAAGTTTCCAAACGATTACAAATGAGACACGAATGGTCTCACAAAACCACCCTTAGGTGAATTCCAAATAATCACAAATAATTAAGAGGAAAGACCTCACCAAATAGATGAACAAAAGTCTTCAAAACAAAGTTGAAGAAGACCTAAAAATAACGAACCAAATCAACTTCGAATCATGCCAAGACCAGTGAATTCATCTTTGCCAAAATAATAGCCTAGAGGCGTCAGTGACGAAACACCAAATTGAAAAAGTCACCCAGCACCATCACTGAGGATAGATCAAAACAGTATAGCCGCCGCACACATATATATTACTAATTCTTGGGCTTTTATGAAAACCCTAGCTACCGCCAAACAGATTATAAATACTCATTGGACCTCCAAAAGTTAGATATAATATATTAAAAATATATTATAACCAATACCAAACCAAGTTAAATATTTTAATAAACTAATTAGGGCGCTGTTTGGGAAGAAAGAGTTGAGGCTATTATAGCCTCATTTGTGAAATAAGCCAAAAAGCCTCTAAATCAAAGTTTTTTTTTTTAAAAAAAAAAAAAAAAAAAAGCTGTAGCTGCCAGACAGTGTAGGCACAGCCTACACTGTCACATTGACAAAATGTTCCATCACTTGGTTATTTACGATTTTGCCCCTTTATATCAATTTAAAAAATTGTAATCTTAGGGACAAATTTGTCATTTTAACTTCAAATATCATTTCAACACATTTTTCAATACAACAACTCAAATAAAAATTCATTTCATCTTCCCAAACACAAAAACTAAAATAGCCTACTAAAATAGCCAAAAAGCCAAAAAGCCTTTAAAAATAGACACTTCCCAAACGAGGCCTAGGTCCCATACTCCAATAATGAGGTATATCCAACAGTTCTCCCCCTACCAACTTAGGTGGAGACATCAATCATACCCTCCAAAGTTCGACACTTCAAATGTTTGTCTCTCAACAAAGTCTTAGTCAACATATCCGAAATATTATCTTTTGTGTGAACCTTTTCGAGTTGTAACAATTTCAAATCTAACACATCACGAATCCAATGGTATCTCACATCGATGTGTTTTGATCTCAAATGAAAAGTAGAACTTTTACTCAAATGAATAGTAATTTGACTATCACAATAAATCACATACCTTTCTTGCTTCAAACCCAACTCTTGCAAAAATTTCTTCAACCATAACTCTTCTTTGCAAGCTTCTATAATGGCAATAAATTCAGTTTTAGTAGTTGAGAGAGTAACACATTTTTGTAATTTAGATTGCCATGCCACAGCTCCCCCTGCAAATGCCATCAAATATGCCGAAGTAGTTTTTCTAGAATTAACATCACCAGCCATGTCAAAATCTGTGAACCTATCAAACATTGGCTTACCATCCCCAAAACACAAACATACATTTGAAGTCCCTCGAAGATATCTTAGAATCCACTTCACTGCTGCCCAATGTTCTTTACCCGGATTAGAGAGAAAACGACTCACCACACCAATGGCGTGAGCAATATTCGGCCTTGTACAAACCATGACGTACATCACAGAACCAATCGCTAAAGCATAAGGAATTTTCTACATCGCTTCCTTGTCTTTCTCACTTGTAGGACATTGATTCGAACTAAACTTGAAGTGACCTGCAAGTGGACAACCAACCGACTTTGCTTTTATCCATGTTGAATCTCTCAAGAACTTTTTCGATGTAGCTTTCTTGAGACAACCAAATCAGCCCCGTTTGGCGATCATGAACAATTTTCATACCAAGTATTTGCTTTGCCGACCCCAAATCTTTCATCAAATCTTTCATAGCAAAAGACTTGCTCAACTCCAATTTCAACCTATTAATCATAGTGTAATATTGACCCACAATTAACATGTCATCAACATAAAGCAAAATAATAATAAATTTACCATCCGAAATTTTTTTCACAAACACACAATGGTCCGAAGTGGTTTTAGAAAAGACATTATTCATCATGAAAGAGTCAAATTTTTTGTACCATTGCCGCGGGGCTTGCTTGA